AAAGATACTCTAAATAATTATCCTACATTCATATTCACCTTGTGCACTCTTGCTGTAAAATAACATCAACCATATATTTATAACTACTCCATCGAAAACATCCAATCTCAACCATGAACCATTCATCTGTGCTCCCTGGTAGCATTGGATTGTGTTTCCCATTCCGTCCCTTAACCAACCATAACATTTCCATGCCCATGCATGTGGCATTCCATCCCAGGCCAATCACATCCTTAACCATACATCTTGTCCACACTCCATCCCAGGCCAACCACATCCTTAACCATCCATCTGGTCCACTCTCCATCGCAGGCCAATCACATCCTTAACCATACATCTTGTCCACACTCCATCCCAGGCCAACCACATCCTTAACCATCCATCTGGTCCACTCTCCATCCCAGGCCAATCACATCCTTAACCATACATCTTGTCCACACTCCATCCCAGGCCAACCACATCCTTAACCATCCATCTGGTCCACTCTCCATCCCAGGCCAATCACATCCTTAACCATCCATCTGGTCCACTCTCCATCCCAGGCCAATCACATCCTTAACCATCCATCTTGTCCACTCTCCATCCCAGGCCAAGCACATCCTTAACCATCCATCTGGTCCACTCTCCATCGCAGGCCAACCACATCCTTAACCTTCCATCTTGTTCACACTCCATCCCAGGCCAATCACATCCTTAACCATCCATTTTGTACACACAGCATCCTTAACCATCCATCTTGTTCACACTTCATCCTAGGCCAATCACATCCTTAACCTTCCATCTTGTCCACTCTCCATCCTAGGCCAATCACATCCTTAACCATCCATCTTGTGCACTCTCCATCCCAGGCCAAGCACATCCTTAACCATCCATCATGTCCACACACCATTCCAAACCATCCACATCCTTAACCATCCATCTTGTTCACACTCCATCCTAGGACAATCACATCCTTAACCATACATTTTGTCCACACACCATCCCTTACCAACCAGATCCTTAACCATACATCTTGTCCACACTCCATCCCAGGCCAACCACATCCTTAACCATCCATCTTGTTCACACTCCATCCCAGGCCCATCACATCCTTAACCATCCATTTCGTCCACACACCATCCTTAACCAACCACATCCTTAACCATCCATCTTGTTCACACTCCATCCCAGGCCCATCACATCCTTAACCAACCAGATCCTTAACCATCCATCTTGTCCACTCTCCATCCCAGGCCAATCACATCCTTAACCATCCATCTTGTTCACACTCCGTCCCAGGCCCATCACATCCTTAACCATACATTTTGTCCACACACCATCCCTAACCAACCAGATCCTTAACCATCCATCTTGTCCACACTCCATCCCAGGCCAACCACATCCTTAACCATCCATCTTGTTCACACTCCATCCCAGGCCCATCACATCCTTAACCATCCATTTCGTCCACACACCATCCTTAACCAACCACATCCTTAACCATCCATCTTGTTCACACTCCATCCCAGGCCCATCACATCCTAACCAACCAGATCCTTAACCATCCATCTTGTCCACTCTCCATCCCAGGCCAATCACATCCTTAACCATCCATCTTGTCCACGCTCCATCGCCAACCAACAATCACTATCTACCCCATCCCTTTCCCCAACTTACTCTATCGCTACCCAATCCTTCCTTTCCCATCACCTCCTCTAACCAACCCTATTCTAACCACACTCCTTCTCTAACCATTCCATTAATCCTCTTCCTCAACCAAATCAAACATTACCCTTCAACTTTCCCTCAGTTTCCCAAAACCAATCCTATTAGTTCCACCCTCATGCCATCCCGACTCCAGTCCTAACCAAGCCAACAATGTATGTCTACAAGAGCATGGTATACTGATGTATATAGTGTAAGATCCAGATGCAGAAGAGAGTATATGAGAACACCACCCATGCCATGCTCCCCTTCCATTTTGCAAGATTACACATACAACTGGGAAATATCTTGGTTTCCAAACTAACAGCCCTTGCTTGAGAAAAAGCATAACTTTGTTCACATCTGGACTTTCTCAAAAGCCATTTTGCTAAATTCAATTTCATTTTGATATTTTATTCCATGCAAAGATGTAAAACTGAATATTTAAGCCTCTTCTTACATCTTGCCCTGTTGTCAATTAACTGCAAGTCAATTCGACAAATTCCTAAAAATAATATTTTGACATGGCAATATTTTATACAAAATCTGGATTTTTTTCGTACATTTGTGTCAGACCTGGGTCCAAATATCACACTCTAAGCAAGTCTAAATAATTCTGTTAACAATCACCAATCTGTCAAATGACGTACACAGCTCTTTCCATCTCCGCATCCCCCAGAAATGACGAATGACAGCTAAAACAGTCCAACACCTGCATCAAACACCCAATCCACCAGCAAAACCGTTTTATCTGGAATGGTCTATTTACATTGAGAATCAGTCGTGATACAGACGTCATGCTGATCATGTAGGTGTACTTCAAAGCCTGACAAGTTCTCATCTCCAGGATGAAAATAGATGGCTGCAGATGAGGCTGGTATCTTAGAGTAACATTAATTAATATATAGCACCAAGGGGAAAGGATTAAATAGCATAATTCTTATTAAATGTATATAATGAATAATACATCATGAAATATATCTAGTAATTATCATAGAAATTCAAAATAATGTTTGAGATTGTGGAAGATAGAGTGAAATAAAATATTTCCCATGATTCTAATGATTCTGAATGACAGGAGACTGGTGGGTTTGAGCAAGTGAGTGAGTGAGTGAAAGTAGAGCAGTGAGGTTGAGTGAGTAAGTGACATTGGAGGGGTGGGAGTGAGTGAGTAACAGCAGAGTGGTGGGGTTGAGTGAATGAGTGAGTGAGTGACAGTAGAGCGGTGGGTTTGAGCAAGTGAGTGAGTGAGTGACAGTAGAGTGGTGAGGTTGAGTGAGTGAGGGACTGACTGACAGTAGAGTGGTGGGGTTAAGTGAGTGAGAGAGTGAGTAAGTGAGTGAGTGACAGTAGAGTGGTAGAGTTTAGTGAGTGAGTGTGAGTGAGTGGCAGTGGAGCGGTGGGGTTGAGTGAGTGACAGTGGAGCGGTGGGGTTGAGTGAGTTACGGTAGAGTGGTGGGGTTGAGTGAGTGACAGTGGAGCAGTGGGGTTGAGTGAGTGACTGGAGTGGTGGGGTTGAGTGAGTGAGTTAGTGACTGGAGTGGTGGGGTTGAGTGAGTGACAGTGGAGCAGTGGGGTTGAGTGAGTGACAGTGGAGTGGTGGGGTGGGGTTGAGTGAGTGAGTGACAGTGGAGTGGTGGGGTTGAGTGAGTGACAGTGGTGTGGTGGGGTTGAGTGAGTGACAGTGGAGCGGTGGGGTTGAGTGACAGTAGAGTAGTGGGGTTGAGTGAGTGAGTGAGTGACAATGGAGCGGTGGGGTTGAGTGAGCGACAGTAGAGTGGTGGGGTTGAGTGAGTGAGCGAGTGAGTGACAGTGGAGCATTGGGGTTGAGTGACAGTGGAGTGGTGGGGTTGAGTGAGTGACAGTGGAGTGGTGAGGTTGAGTGAGTGAGTGACAGTAGAGCAGCGGGGTTGAGATATGAAAGAAGAACACGTGGCGCCAAGAGTTATGGTAAGTTTTCCCTCGCATTTTCATTAATTTGCAAGTATATCAGGTTTTGCCATTTGGCATAAGGATCTAGAAAGTTACAGATCTGTCTGTAATAGCTTGACGGAGGTATGTATCGATGCATCGATCTACGCAACTGGGATACGATGACATGCGTCAAAAAAGTCAGTGAGTCTGACCACCCGATCCTCTGCCTCTTGCCTCTGACGACAAGCATGGGTTACTGAAGACCAATTCTAACCTGGATCTTCACGGGTCGGGTTCAGCATTGCCTGCAAAAACTGTAATCTGATGAGAGGTAAGTGGACTGGCACATCTAAAGCTAATTTTCGAAAAAAAACCACCCCAAAACATTCCGTGTGATTATGTTTATAATGTGGAATTATTTAGTAATGTACTTTTAATCATAAGTACCACATGGCCTGCACAAAAAAATAATTCAGTGGCTTTGATCTGTTTACCTAATGTTCACCACTGTTTAGCTTTTTACACCCACCGGTGTCTGGGCAGATAACCAACACCGATTGTTCTCTGTACGAGGGTTTAAAAGAGATTTAAATTTAAGTTTGACACATGAAGAATTCAAATCTTTTAATCTTGTGCAAGTGATTTCACTTAACCATGAGCTAGAAAACATAAAGTTATAATTGTGGACCTATCCTTTCATAATCTGGAGAGGTGGTAAGCCTAATAGAAGCATTCATTCATTATTCCATAGGCACTGGGTTGGATTCTCCACATGGGTACAATTTGTGAAGCTCATTTCTGGTGTAGTTGTTGTGATATTGCTGGAATATTGCTAAAAGTGTCATAAAACCTTTCTCACTCACTCACTCACTCACAAAACCTTTCTCACTCACTCACTCAGTGCTTTCATTATGAATGGACCCATGAAGAAGCGGGCTAGAATTGATCTTCAGTAACCCATGCTTGTCTTAAGAGGCGACTAACGGGATCGGGTGGTCAGTCTCACTGACTTGGTTGACACATGTCATTGTATCTGAATTGTGTAGATCGATGCTCATGGTGTTGATCACTGGAATATCTGGTTCAGACTCCATTATTTACAGACTGCCAACATATAGCTGGAATACTGCTGAGTGTGGCATGAAACTAAACTCACTCACTCATAATGAATGATAAAATGTTTCAATTTATGAATCCCAAGTGCCCCCAAACGTTCAATTCCTGTATCCTCCCCTGAAACCCTTTCCATGAACGACCCGTGAAGATCCGGGGTAGAATAGGTCATCAGCAACCCATTCTTGTCATAAAAGGCGACTATGCTTGTCGTAAAAGGCGACTAACGGGATCGGGTGGTCAGGCTCACTGACTTGGTTGACACATGTCATCGGTTCCCAATTGCACAGATCGATGCTCATGCTGTCGATCACTGGATTGTCTGGTCCAGACTCGATTATTTACAGACCGCCGTCATATAGCTGGAATATTGCAGAGTGCGGCGTAAAACTAAACTCACTCACTCACTCACTCAATTCCCATGTGTTTGCCCAGTTCGCAAGACTATACTACTCACTATGTAGTCCTCGCAATCTCAATTTGATTGGCTACTCGACTTTATCCAACATACCAATCAATTACCAGTCAGCCTCAATGTTGGGTTGGCAATTGATTATGAATGGTTTGCAAGAAATTCAGTGTTGAAAAAACTGACTGACATGCTAAAGAAGCCCTCACAAAGGTTTTTGAAAGGAAAGGATGTTTTCATGACAACTGTTGTGGCTTGAGGGCAGTATGAGTTACTGCCATTACCGTTCCCTCATACCAATGTTTATGGACTGTTTGCAGTGAAAACGTACCGATGAATTTCACTTTAAACAAGAAAGTAAATCGAATAAAGTGAAATTAAGATTGCAAATCCTCATAATTTAACCTTGCCAACTGAACATTTAAATATCAGAATTTTATTAAACTTAGGATAAAAGTTGTTTAGCAAACGATCATAGTTTCAATTCGTTATTATTGGTTTGTATTACAAGGGTGTATGCACTTTAAATGAAACACCGAGAACAAGTAGGGTTGGTCTAAGTTAACGCACATCATTTACCGCACGTGCATTTGTTTCAGTGTTCCAACTACTGCGCTTACCCCCTTGTAATACAAACCAATAATAGCGATTTGAATCTATGATCGTTTGTTAAACAACTTTTATCCTAAGATGAATAAAATTCTGAGATTCAAATGTTCAATTGGCAAGGTAAAATTATGAGGATTTGCAATCTTAATTTCACTTTATTTGATTTACTTTTTGTTTAAAGTGAAATTCATCGGTACGTTTTCACTGCAAACAGACTATACCTGGTGTGTAAAATGCTAATATTGGGTGGGTAATTTGCAATGGCAAGAACCACGGGAATAGAACCTGAATTCTCAGAGTAGTTTACATAAATATCCCTAACTTCTCATGGTGATTCTGGAGCAGAAGTTTTCAAGAACAGTAATTGACAAAATCATGATTTCCATGTTCACCTACCACCCATGGCCTGTAATTAAACCTATATGGTTTAGTTGTACAATCTTTGTGCAGATAATCAATAGTTTGACAGGTGCCAGATCTCCACGAATAGAACAAACTTCAGGCACATCTGGGATTTATATAGAACGGCGCCATATTCCAAAAAGCGATCATAGGAGTTGTAATTCTGTTAAAAATTCGGAGTTAGGATCACCTAGGCATTACGATCACTTTGTGGACAGGTGACCACCTCCAGGCCTGATTTTTGCCCCACTTTTGCAGCAAATGACTAAAAATTCACAAACTGGAATAAAAAAATGTCCAATTGATGTTTTGAATGTATTGGCAAATAATGTTAGAAATGAGTGAGTCCAGCTATATCATGATGGAGCAACAACAGAAATCGGCTGAACATGTGGGGAATCAAATCTGGGTCCTTGGCGTGATAATACGCTTTGACCACAATAATGATAATAGGAAAATATAGAGGAAGAGTCTTGATACTTAGTCTTACCTTATTGCATTGATTGTGATCCTAAAGTACTTATAACACATTTTATATTTGGGATTTCACTTAATCAGTAAAGTACAGATTCTAGTACTTTTGTTGGGTTGAGTCCCATCGGGGATTTACACCCACACACTCAGAGTCAGGCACCTAATCGCCAGCACAGAAAGTCAGCCATCTAACCCACTCAGCCACCACAGCTTTATTGAGGAAGTGTGATCCCAAATATATCAGGTGCTACATTTGACCACTTTCTTAATGGCATTGTGTATTCATATCTGTGAACTTTGATAAACTAGAACTGAAGCAATTATAGTAACAAAATAATGAGATTTTCTAAACGAGCACATAGTTTGGGCTGAACATAATCCCACAACATGAAAAAAACAACAACAAACCTGTTGTTTGTTCAGGAGCTGAGCCAGTTGTCCCTCCAGCTGCTGAATCCGCGATTCCTGGTCACGAACTCCATCCTGTACATCATAAAAGGACATGTCACCAGAATCACCAGTGAAATAATATGTTGTACAATCAGAATGGTATTTATTGGACACATGTTACCTGGTGTTATATTGCAGTCAGGCACATACCACATGGTGTTATGTTGCAGTCAGACAAATACCACCTGGTGTTATATTGCAGTCAGACAAATACCACATGGTGTTATGTTGCAGTCAGACAAATACCACATGGTGTTATGTTGCAGTCAGACAAATACCACCTGGTGTTATATTGCAGTCAGACAAATACCACCTGGTGTTATACTGCAGTCTGACACATACCACCTGGTGTTATCTTGAAGTCAGACATATACCACCTGGTGTTATGTTGCAGTCTGACACATACCACCTGGTGTTATCTTGCAGTCAGACACATACCACCTGGTGTTATGTTGCAGTCAGACACATACCACCTGGTGTTATGTTGCAGTCAGGCACATACCACCTGGTGTTATCTTGCAGTCAGACACATACCACCTGGTGTTATCTTGAAGTCAGACATATACCACCTGGTGTTATATTGCAGTCAGGCACATACCACAGAGAGTTATTTTGCACTTCATCAGATACCATTCAGTCAACATACTACGAGGTGTTATATTGCAGTCAGGCACATACCACCTGGTGTTTTACTGCTCTGAGACACAAACTAGAGTGTACTATAGCACTCGACCACTAACCACTTAATATTATACTGCATTTGAACACGCTCCACAAGATGTTATATTGCACTGAGACACAAACTACGTGTACTATAGCACTCGACCACTAACCACTTAATATTATACTGCATTTGAACACACTCCACAAGATGTTATATTGCACTGAGACACAAACTACGTGTACTATAGCACTCGACCACTAACCACTTAATATTATACTGCATTTGAACACACTCCACAAGATATTCTATTGCACTGAGACACAAACTACGTGTACTATAGCACTCGACCACTAACCACTTAATATTATACTGCATTTGAACACACTCCACAAGATGTTATATTGCACTGAGACACAAACTAGAGTGTACTATAGCACTCGACCACTAACCACTTAATATTATACTGCATTTGAACACACTCCACAAGATGTTATATTGCACTGAGACACAAACTAGAGTGTACTATAGCACTATACTGCATTTGAACACACTCCACAAGATGTTATATTGCACTGAGACACACTAACCACTTAATATTATACTGCATTTGAACACACTCCACAAGATGTTATATTGCACTGAGACACAAACTAGAGTGTACTATAGCACTCGACCACTAACCACTTAATATTATACTGCATTTGAACACACTCCACAAGATGTTATATTGCACTGAGACACAAACTAGAGTGTACTATAGCACTCGACCACTAACCACTTAATATTATACTGCATTTGAACACACTCCACAAGATGTTATATATGGCACTGAGACACAAACTGTATTTTGAACACACCTCCACAAGATGTGTACTATAGCACTCGACCACTAACCACTTAATATTATACTGCATTTGAACACACTCCACAAGATGTTATATTGCACTGAGACACAAACTATGTGTACTTTAGCACTTTCGACCACTCGACCACTAACCACTTAATATTATACTGCATTTGAACACACTCCACAAGATGTTATATTGCACTGAGACACAAACTAGAGTGTACTATAGCACTCGACCACTAACCACTTAATATTATACTGCATTTGAACACACTCCACAAGATGTTATATTGCACTGAGACACAAACTAGAGTGTACTATAGCACTTGATCACTAACCACTTAATATTATACTGCATTTGAACACACTCCACAAGATGTTATATTGCACTGAGACACAAACTACGTGTACTATAGCACTCGACCACTAACCACTTAATATTATACTGCATTTGAACACACTCCACAAGATGTTATATTGCACTGAGACACAAACTAGAGTGTACTATAGCACTCGACCACTAACCACTTAATATTATACTGCATTTGAACACACTCCACAAGATGTTATATTGCACTGAGACACAAACTAGAGTGTACTATAGCACTTGATCACTAACCACTTAATATTATACTGCATTTGAACACACTCCACAAGATGTTATATTGCACTGAGACACAAACTAGAGTGTACTATAGCACTTGATCACTAACCACTTAATATTATACTGCATTTGAACACACTCCACAAGATGTTATATTGCACTGAGACACAAACCAGAGTGTACTATAGCACTCGACCACTAACCACTTAATATTATACTGCATTTGAACACACTCCACAAGATGTTATATTGCACTGAGACACAAACTACAGAATGTACTATAGCAGTTGACCACTTAATATTATGTTGCATTTGAACATATTCCACATGGTGTTATATTGCACTCAGACACATACCACCTGGTGTTATGCTGTATCTGGACACAAACCACCTGGTGTTATGCTGCACTAGGCTGATGTTCCACTGAAGTGTGCCATATACAATCCATCATGATATTACACTTGCACACATACCACCTGGTGTTTTACTGCATTTGAAATCATACAACCCGTTACAAACACGGGGCTTAATACCACCTGGCGTTACACAGGAGTAGGCAGCATACCACCCAGTGTTACAATGAACATTGACATATACCACTGGTGTTCTCATGAAATAGACCAATTCCACAATCTTAGTGTTACAATAGAAGCTACCCCTCTACAAACACACTTGTCTCTGGCTAGCAAGCTCGCAAGAGTACTCTCCCTTTAATCACTTCCATAAACTTCCATAATGTCTTCAAAGTAGTGTTACATTATCTGCCAAGCCGATGCAAATTATTTAATTTAAAGACTGCTACAAACCTTGACACCCACAGGGCTCTGTTCTATGTCAGTTGAAGAGACAGTTGTGCTAATCTCTCCTGACACCAGGAGGCGCTGTCTGAATACAGCGAGTGCCTGGTCAATCTTAGGCGTGATAACGTCAGCCAGCTGCGGATCCTAGAAGACACCAGTGTAATATTAATGGTTGTACATGAACGTGGTGAGTCCTGGAAAACAGGTGGATATAATACAACATATGTGAGGTGAAAGATATAAAAATAATAGATATTTGAGGGTGATTCCTTGAACACAGAGGTATAACAGAATTTATTGGTCTTATAGATTCTTTACAAACTTGGTAAAATAGAAGAAAAAGCTTTAATCTAAATATTAACAAATAACTGAATTTTTTCTTTGAGACCTGCAGTAGATCTGAGATAAAAATACTCAAATACTAAAGACAATATAAGCATAACATATATTATATTATATTATATTATAGGATATTAATATAGCGCACATATCCAAGCAACTAGTGCATGCTCAAGGCGCTGGTATTTTTTCCCTCGATCATTGGATGTCAATCTCAACGGCACATTGCATTATCAATCTCAACTCCCTGGGGAGTATACAACTCTTGCAGCCACTAGGCGCACCGAGTTATTGTGGCTTTCTCACCCTAACATATGTCATATTTGGGATTACACTTTCTTAGTAAATATAAGCATAGGCAAATTTTGATTCCATGAAAACACTGGGAACATGAAACCCTGAAAAAGCTGTTACTCAGTGAAGTGTCAGTAGTCAGTAAGTCTCCTATGATGTCTCTCTGATACCATAACCAGGGCTTTACGTGAGGCAGAAATGTCCGTCCAATACACACAAATGTGTAGAATGGATGCAGAAAAATATATGCGTCGCCTAGGACGCACAATAATATTCTCTAAATTTGTAACCAAAAATAAAAATTTCAAGCAATCAAAGTAATCAACAAATCTTCCAGCACAGTCTTCTCAACATTTCATTACTTTACAGGACCCTAAAACTTCATGTGTGGACCCTTGAAATTAGTAAGTGTGGATCCCAAATTCTGTTGGTCAAGGTAAAATCCTGCATAACACATGCAATAGCATGCAACAAACACCGTTCCCACAGTTACGTGTTTGCCAGTTCCACCAGAAAAATTTAAAGGCACTATTTCACACCACACTTCTCTAAAAATAAATAGTGCATTTCTCTCTAATACTAACTATCAGCCCTCAGGAAAGCTATCATATAATTTATTCCAATTTTTCTTTACACATTTAGATTACAAAATTAAATAAAAAAGTTCGAAAGAATTAATGCAATGTTGCATTAAATCGACTCTCGCACGCTCTACTGGCCGAACATAATTTCAAGCAAAGTCCATAGAGTTATGTCTCTTGGAGCGCTCTTTATGAATATCCATAACTCCTTTGGAGACAGAACTCAGTCCTAGACAAAATTATGCTAATATCTGGCGCAAAAACATACGAGCAACTTGTGATTGAAACCAGTTCGGCAAACACCGACAACACTGCGTGTGACAGTTTTTGATGTACAGAGCAATTGTTTACATTCCATATATGGCAAGTGTTCTCTGTTTTGAAGCTGTTCACTTCGAAGTTTAAAATATCAATTTCAGGCAAGTTGTAAGGGATATTAAGTCTTGTATTGCATCAATATGAAGCTAAAGTGAGTGCATATGCCCCAATATATACAATATAGGCCAAAATATTGTCAAAAATAGGCGGCGAAATTGTGCCGCTAACTTTCCTTTAAATCATTTCACTAATAGTAATACTATCGCACACAAAACTTCCATATACTTTATGAGTGAGTGACGTATTTTATGCCACTTTGAACACGTCATCCAGTCATCTAATGAAATGTCAGCTTAACATGTGAGGAAACAAGCAAAAAGATGCAAGTCACAGATGTTTACAACTTTTGTGAAACCGAGAACAGATATACAGCTGATGAACCCGAATCATAACTGAGTGTGAACCAGGATTCAGACCCACAATCCCAGGTCCGAGATGTGACCAAGGGAGGCAACTCTGCACAGAGAAAATGTGGCAGACTGCGCCTAAGGCTCCACCTTGATATGCTTAATCTTTGGTTGTCTGTATACATATTCAGAAACAGAAGACATTTAAGTCACTTACAGAGCTGCTTGAAGAAATCAGATACTCCATGTAGTCTTCTAAACCTGAAACCATAAAGGTACGGTATGAGGTACATGATAGTAAACGCAAAGGCAATGAGTCTTAGGATCAATGCGTATGTCAGATTCAGCAGATCCTGGCACTTCTAAGGTCCATAACAAATTGTAAATCAATGTATGGAATCATAAGCCTCTTATCGGGACACAATCCTGTACTGATGTAATGATGTACCACTAGCAATTACCCATCCAAGTCATATTTACTGGACTACAAGTAAACAATTACCAATAAATGGCACCACAAAATCGACTTGAGACTGTGTTCAACTGATGTATAAAAAGTCATGGTCTTGACTGCACATTACCTGGGATATCGTTGAGGACCTCTGTCACGTCCGCTGATTGTCCGAGCCTGTCCTTGCCGTCCAGACATTTCACCTGGGGAAGTGCACTGAATACCTCTGACGGATAACCTGACACAGTACAAAACTCAATTACTACTCACCACAAACATTTATGAATAAATCTTTAACTTTGGATGACAAGGATTCATAAGCTTTCATAATGGCAGGGCTCGATTTATGACTGACTGACTGACTGAGTTTGGTTTTAGCAATATTCCAGCAATATCACGGCGGGGGACACCAGAAATGGGCTTCACTCATTGTACCCATGTGGGGATTCGAACCCGGGTCTTCGGCGTGATGAGCCAACGCTTTAACCACTAGACTACCCCTCCGCCCCCTCGATTTATGAGATGTGAACCTACTTGCACCAGGTGCAACCTAAGATAAAACATGGTTGCACCAGCCAAATTCCAAATGCACTGCTTTTATTGCAATATGTAATGAAAGAAATATGCTACTGAATTATTCACAGTTTAGAAGAAAAATGAGCTGACATAATTATGCTTATAATGTTAGATTTATTGTTGATTTATTTCTCAAAAATTGACAAATAACTAGGTTGCACTTTGTAATATTGGGTAGCACCAGTGCAAGTAACAAAGCACTAAATCGAGCCCTGAATGGTAAATATATACTGTCTATAAAGCAAGCCCCATATAAAACTTCAAAACCAATGCTTAAACAATATGCCCAGTCTATAATGCATAGACTGACGAAATCTTGAGCAAAGCACATCACATACATGTTCCCTGTTAAAGCAATAAAAATATACGCCAATCAGATAAAGAAACTCTATTTCTTGTAAACTAGTCACCAACTGTCTAATGTTTTAATTTGCTAGACTATACACAAATTATCCATTTATTCTCAAATTTCATCAAATAGACAAACCAAACTGACAAGAGTGTCTGTGTCAATTTGGTCACACTTTCAGTACTTTTATACATTTTGGTATCAAACAAACATTTTATCTTTAAAACATAAAGTGAGCTACATGACATTTATAGCATGAACCCATCCTCACCTGGCTGATGGCACACTGGATTGCCCGACCCATCCTGATACAACACCAGGTGTCGGAGATTGAAGCAGCCAATCAGAGCCTGTGTTACATGTGGCAGAGACCGCAGCTTGTTGCCATGGAGTTCAATATGGGACAGCTTATACCCGGGACCAGAAAGTTGGCTGAAACCTTCCACACTCCCGATCTGGTTGTAGCTCAAGTTTATTTTGACAAGAGACCTGCATAGAAAAGTGAACAATATCATTATCATTCATATTTAGGAGTAGCCAAGTGAGTGAGTGAGTGAGTGAGTGACAGTAGAGTGATGGGAATGAGTGAGTGAGTGAGTGAGTGAGTGAGTGAGTGAGTGAGCAATATTATGGTGGCGGTCTGTAAATAATCGAGTCTGGACCAGACAATTCACTGATCAACAGCATCAACAACAATCTACGCAATTGGGACACAATGACATGTGTCAACAAAGTCAGCGAGCCTGACAACCCGATCCCATTAGTCGCCTCTTACAGCAAGCATGGGTTACTGGAGACCAATTCTAACCCGGATCTTCACAGGTGCATTGGTAGAGCAGTGTCAGGTATTACCAAACAGCTAGTACCATATCCTGCCTAATTCCTGTTTCATGATATGAAACAAACACTAGTACGAATAAAGAACTGTTCAATCTAAATCCTATTTAACACATAAAAAGTGAAGGCTAGTAATTCCTGTCCAGCAAACCTGTTGCTGATAAATATTTTATATCATTATTTTATTTTTTATTCTTGTCTATTCGCCAGAATACACTTGTCAGGGTATTCTGAACATTTATGTCAGGCTCTTTCAGCGAAACGGTCTGTCACAAAAATAAAGTTGTGGCTGAAATGTCATTGCTTTGCTGGACTGTCTTTTGCTTTCGATGTGTACAACAAGTTTATAAACTCTTTCCTCGTTCCTGTTGCTGAAATTTGCATCATATTTTCAGTAACACGAGGAAGGAAAAGAGTTCCTGAACCAGTATTTGACACACATCATGTGTCTGTGTATGCTAACAATTACAGCAAGTATTTGAAAAGAGTGAGTGAGTGAGTTTTACACCGCACTCAGCAATATTCCAGCTATATGGCGGCGGTCTGTAAATAATCAAGTCTGGACCAAACAATCCAGCGATCAACATTATGAGCATCAATCTACGCAATTGGGAACCGATGACATGTGTCACCAAGTCAGCAAGCCTGACCACCTGATCCCGTTAGTCGCCTCTTACGACAAGCATGGGTTACTGAACACCAATTTACACCGGATCTTCATGGGTGTATTTGAAAAGAACCGATGGACGTCAATATGATGAATGATAACAAGGATATAAATTAACACAACACACTGACCAAAATTCCAAAAAAGGCAACAAGGTAACATTTGTTAAAGTGTTATTTCATTGGTCACTTGCAATCTGCTCAGGATAACCCTGATAGTCGAGTGCTATTCAAAGCCTGTATAAAAAGCTACAAACATGATTTGTACTTATCAGTATGTTGTGAAATACAACAATACTGTTGTATTTAAAAAGATACTGTAAGTTTATTTTTGCCAGAATACATGATAAATACATTTCATGATAATCTTTATTACATTATGGACGATCAATGGACTTCCTATCACTTGTTTGAAGACAAAAATTTGTCAGCTTTTTAAAAGATATAAATATATACGTTGGTGCACATATTTTAACAGTCACAATAAAATACATTGATTAATGTAATGCAAGCATTTTCACAATTTGTTTATTTTTTCTATATTTTGGTTTAAGAAATGATTCAATTGCAACACTTTCCTCATATTGCCCATGTTCTGCACACACTGCAGATCTACAGTGCATATTACAGGGTTGATCATAAACCTGACATGTATGCATTTTGATGAGTGAGTGAGTGAGTGAGTTCAGTTTTACTCAGCAATATTCCAGCTATATGGCTTGTCAAAAACAAATCAGCGAGCCTGAGCACCCGATCCCGTTAGTTGCCTCTTACAACAAGCATGGGTTACTGAAGATCAATATTCTAACCCGGACCTTCACAGGTCGCATTTTGATGAAGCATGAAGGGGAAAATATTTTCTTTTAGAGGGCGAGGGAATAATTGCTCATGGAATGACTTATTTCAACATGGATGGTAGTGATAATAAACGGTCTGCTAATTGTTTTCGCAGTCTAGCATGTCTGAGCACACACAATTATAAAAGACTCACAAACATTTTATTTTTTCTTGTACTTTGAGTATCGGCTAACACTGACTTATTCAACTGAAATTTGAGTATTTAAATAGCATTATTGTGTCTGATACATGACGTACAAGGTGCCCATCTGTCAGTAGAGTGTTCATGGGAAGGAAAGCACTCTCATCAAAGCCATGAAATTTACTGCCTTTGACATCTGTATGAGCTCATCAACAGACATTTCAAACATTACCCATTAAGGGAATTGAACTGGGTATTTGGCGTGACAAGCTAACGCTTTAATCACGAGGCTACCCCACCACCCCAAGAAATCAACAAGAAAATAGGCTGGTATAGTGGAAAAATTATCAGGGCAAGTGATTTTACATGTGCCACTCTACCGGAGTACACTAGCAATTTTAAAGTTATTTCCACCCCTGGTATGGATGTAAATACAAGTGTGCATACTGTCTAAATATGCCTAGCTAACTTCTTATGACTTTTTCTTAACATTCATAACACGATGAAGGCAAAAGAATACTGCTGTCAGTTCTTAAATGTAAAAAAATAAAATGTATCCTACCTAAGGGGAGATAATCCACTGACTTCTGCGATAAGGTTGCAGGAGAGGTTGAGCGTCCTGAGAGACACAAGGCCTTCTAAACCCTGGATCCTGGTGATCTGATTGGACGACAAGTCCAGGTGTCTCAGTTGCTGCAGCCGGGAGAGATTGTGGATCTGTTGTATGTAGTTGCTGTGTAAGTTCAGCACCAGGAGATGGGGACGAAGGGGTACATCTCGGATGTCGTGTACTCCAGAGTCAATCAAACACAACTCATTAGAATCCAAATCTACTCTCCCTGATGCCATGCTCGTCTTGTTTAGTCTTCAGAATACACTTCTTGTGTTCAGTAAATCAGAATTATAAACTGCAGTTGATCTCACTTTGTTGATCTGATACCTGTCACATTTCACTGATAATTCGAACCATCTGTCATCAGTTATTGTGGAGAAACTTTCATACCTGAAACAGAACAAAATCACGTTCTCAAATTAAGGGACCGTTCATAAGTTATGGCTAGGGGGGTTGATGATGATATTTATGGAGATGCATGTACAATGTGGACAATCCCCCTCTAAAATTTAATCAATGCCCTACCCCCTACTCTTTCCATAATTTTAAGCAAAATTTTTTAAGTATTATGATTTCCAGGCTCGACATTTCCAGCTATCTGACTTTGATGTGCATTAATTCCAGGTACTTATATATTCTGGCAAATATTTCACCAGAATCAAAGAAACAGTTGACAGACATGTGGTTAACTACATTGTAATTCAAAGATAAGCACTTAATTTTGAAATTCACTTGCTAAAGACAGGTGACGTAGGATGCATCATCGATATTTGACACACCGACAATGGCGGTAAGCGACAGGTTAGTTGTGGGTTTGACAAGTGCAGCCAGGAAAACGTGAGTGAATATCCTTTCACAAATGTTTGTAGACATAATGAAATATTAAATGCTTTCATCAGGATGTTTATAATTCTACTGCTCAACATATCTATCCTTGTATTACAGGTTTTCGGACACTTAAACAACATTCATTGTTATCTTCCCAACAACATGATTGACAATAAAACATGTCACTAACTAACAAAGGATAACTTTATCCTTTAACACAAGCCATCATTCAAGAATGTTGTGCGGGTGTGTTCCGCATTATGCATAATTAGGACTTTTTGTAGTACCCGAAAGTAGATAAGACATGAAAGTTAAGAACACGCGGAGAATAGTTTACTTAGTATTAGGACCTATATAGGTTGTTCTATAGGTGTAAGCAGGCTGCTTCCCTTTAGTGGCGCTGTGACTGTCGAATCGCGGGGATTCGTGTGGTTTGGTTATTTTGTTTGGGCCCATCGCATTTTGATTTGTTTTGGAGTTCGAGTCGGGCGCGTTTGTGACACGTGGTTGTGACTGTGAGCTCGTGCTTATACTGCTTAGCCAGAGGTGAACTGTGATAGTTTGGCTCGATATTTTGAGTGGTATTGTTTTAAATTGTGTGGAAGGTTTTGTACTTATCTTTTCAACGCTTTGACAGTGGTTGTTATGTCAGCTTTGTGATTTTTAGAACTGAAGTTTTGGTTTATTTGTGGACATCGCTGGTGTCTGGCATACGCATGGTTGTGGCGACTGAGTTCAGATTGGCCGTTGGGGTTTTCATTCAGTTCATGAGTGACTATTGGATGAGAGTGGGGGACTGCTTTGTATGATTACCCGCTGAAGGTTTCACAAATTTGAGACGATTTTGCCATATATATCCTGGGCTGGGATTGACATTTGAGAAACGCTGCAGTTGCATGACAGCCATTTGACCCAGGTGATTGATAAGTTTGCTATTTGTAGAAGAGTACTGGTGTTTGTGCCTCATACCTGCGACTGTTGAATTGGCGATTATCATTATTGGATCACAATTTGTGCACTATTTTGTTTTGAGGTAGTGTCAATATCGCAACCTCCATGATGCTGGTGTACATCAATGTAGCCACTTTAGAGGATTTGATTCCCCTTAAAGAGTTGACACAGAGTGCTGCAGTCAACATCCTTAAACTGAGAGATAGCAAAGGTGACCTGAAGTTTGATGATGTAGCACGTAATTGCCAGAACTTTGTGATATTGCCAAACAGTGCTTGTCATTTGAATCCAGGGATTCTTTATTGGGCAGTTCAAAATATGAACAAACTGCATACAGTGTTTCACCCGTTCATCACTCAACCGTTTCAGCACAGCTGAACGTGAGAACTATGGCCGCATTATACGGGACCTCGGTGAAAACCGCACTATGAATCACTCCACCAGATACTTCAATGAGAGCAGAACTCATTTTGACCCGGACACCGTCGAAGCCTCCCACATTTGACGGATCTGGTGACTGGAGAACCTTTCTGTTGAAATATGAATCTTTTGGTGAATCATGTGGTTGGGACGCTGAAAGGAAAAAGAGGGAATTTGTACACACTGCATGGTGGTGCTGCGTTGTACTACAGCTTGTTGGTTGGTGATAGACCCTTGTCAACTATTCCTTGGAGTACTTTAGTATCAGATTTCCAGATCCGTTATGCAGCTGGTGAGAATCCTGCTGAAGAGTCAATAAAGTTTGACAATCTGATGCAGGGACGAGATGAAGATATTAGAGACTTCCAGCGGACCGTGTGAAACTACAAGCCAGCTACTCTTTTGCTACCTGCCCTGCGTTGTATCGCGTGAAACACAGGCAATTAACAAGGTTTGTAGAGGCTGTTTGGATTCGATGCAGGGCTTGGGCCTTTAACATGAGACCACAGACAGTGGGACGAAGCTGTTCGTGATCATCCGTCGGGCACTCCACACCAATCAGTGGGCGTCCGCAAAAACAAGCTCGCCGAGTTTCAGAGTCTTATTTTCAAGGCGACAGTGAAAATGAGGATCTGCTTGCAAAGGCGAACTTCGTGGGTTTGACAAGTCAAGGCAAAGTTTGTCCTCAAGAGGACGTCCATATGTTCCACAGGAGCTGATCGCGTGCTCCACGGGAGGCCCCACAATCTCTCTCTTTATCAGGAGGGAATGAGTATTGCATGTCTCCACAGTCTCCAAGGAGGGATCTACAGCAGTCTGACAGTACACTGTCTGCTCAGGTACAGACACCAACACCAGTGACAACATCTACACCACGTGGTACACCTGAGTACACAGTCGCTCTGGACCAACAAGTAAAACATCTCTCTGGTAAGGTAGACAATGTCATTGCCGCACTGTCGCAAATCGCCACAAGGTTTGATCAGCTGAGTATTTCACGAAAGTACCGGAACAACAAACAAGTAGACAAGCGTTCCTACTACGCCATCTCGTTCTGGGTGCTTTTACTGCAAAGACCCTAACCATCTCATTCGAGATTGCCGAAAATATCAAAGTCTGTGTCCTTTGATGAAAAGTCTTTAAACAGACCGAAGTGGGATCATTTGGCCTAAAGCCGACCATTACACAACCCGGTAGGCCAACCACCGCCAACAGAATTTGCTGACTGTGACTCGAATCTCGAGGGGCCTTAAAGACAATGTCGCTGGAGGTTCTGTTTCCCCTACACAGTTTCACACAATTGTGAAGAGGGTGTTCCATTGTCGGTGACAACTGGTGCTTCTCAGCGACAGCAGAAATTAATGTCAGTTCGGGACAAGATTTGTATCACATGGACAACTATTCCGTGACACCTTCATCGACTTCTGCAGGTCAGGAACCCATAGGAGTAGACCAGCATGGGTCTCTTACCACAAGTGAACCATCAGGACATGTGTACCAACAACCAGAGACACGACAGTGTAAATCCTTAGGGTGTCGGATCGACATTGTGAAATCCTTGCCGTGGTGCCAGGAGTTCGAGGATTACACAAAGGCTGTAATGGAATTTTCAGCAAGTTTGACTTCACGACCAAATACCTTTGCAGTAAATAAGAATACTCCAACCACCGGAAGTCCATCTTGTGAGCCCATATGCGAAACATGATCCATGTGATGTCAACTTCTCTGATGGGCCAAAATTGCCTGTTTCCTCAGCGTGGATGCAGCCCCAAGTTAGCTTCAGATTTGGTTGATGCAGAAAGCCATGTTCTTATAAACCCTGAACTTGAATCACTACCCCAGGACACAATTCAAGACTTCGAGTCAGAGTCTGCTGACACCTCGGACATGCCAAACCTCAGTCAGGGTTTTGATTCTGCTGAGTATTACATTGATGATGACTTTTCCAGTCAGTTGTCGTTCGATGTCCCAGTAATCCCCACAGGTGGAGAGACAGTTGTGCTGAAGTCTGGGGCACCATCTGACTCATCGAGGCAGTATCATGGCCACTCACTCATATCACTCATAGAGTTTAGGAAGAACAACAAGTATTTGCAGCAGGAACTGTTGCAGTCTGTCAGGGATTTTATGAAGGGTGCACCAGAGCAAGAGAGTCCCACCCCATCTACATTGGTAAGGGAACATGAGGATAGGATGCCTCCTGTAACAGCGTGTGGCTTGCTGCCCCCATCTGGAGTGGCAAAGGAATGTGCGACTCCGGTAGGACCAGGAGTTCTTGTGGGGTCCAGTTGCACAAACTTTATTCTAGAGACAACAGATAATGAAATGCCCACTGACACTTCTGTTATACCACAACAGGAGGTTGATGACAACCCAACTTGTCAACGATCTAATCTGGACGGACCCTCCGCGAGGAGACTCAGACATTTTGGTTGGGCAGTCGATGCCTGAGGGTATCATCTCATCTTCGCCGACATGACTTCAGATGTAATCTCATCTCAACCTACCCCTGTGCCTATATCCAACAATGAACAATTGACAACCATAGGTGGATCTACTTCCATTAATGGAAAACTGTGTTCCCTACATGTCGAGGAAAGTGATTCACCACCAATGGCCCAGAATGGTATATCATCCAGTGCAGGCCCCAGTGTTTGCAAGCCCACTAGGGAAGTTGTCATCAGTCAGGCTAAGGGATTGAATGCCAGCTATTGGTTACCAGTGACAGTGGAAGGTATAAAGGTCCCTGCCGTTATAGATTCTGGAGCGTCTGTGACTATTCTTGCTGAGGACATATATAAGAAACTTGATCCAACTCCACCTACCCTGGAAATCATCAACATTAGAAATGCCGGAAAGAATATGGTAATGACAGGAAAAGTGGTTGGACCAGTCACGGTGAAGATTGGGAACAAAATGTTCCAGGAGTTACTCCATGTTGCCCCATTAGAGGAGGATCTCCTTCTTGGACTTGATTTCATGAAGTCTCATCACTGTTGCATTGAAACTGATGGAGATTGGTTGAGGCTTGAGGGGCGATACATTTCCACTAATATTTTCTGTAAAGGCACCCTCATTTGAATCTTTTCCAGTCCATCTCACAAAGGAAGTTTTCATTCCTGCCAGATCAGCAGTACAACTCTCATGTGTGACACATCATATGTCTGAAGCAAGTCATTACCTACTTGAAC